ATATATATATTATATATATGTTATATATATACTGAAAATCTGTTCAAGGATATTGTATATTGTTATATTGCATTTAGATGATACTAATATTACATATTACAAAACTTCACTAACTAACCGCGATCTATCTGCAGCATCTAAAATCCTTATATGAGAGTATATGTTTACAGACAATGCCTGTAAATCTATACACACCTTAAATGACTTCATACGAGCGAAGCATTCAAACCAAGCATATTGTATGCTTTAATAAGAATCATAAATTTCAATATTTTCAAGTTATTTTTTTCAACCAACTATCGTTGGTAAACCTATTTTAATCAAAAAAATTTTTTCACCATTTTCCTAAAACTAGTATTTTTTTTTCCTTTTTTTTTGATATTGATGTTATACTACTACTTCTAGATTCATCACTTTGGTCCATTAACAGACCATTACTGCTTGTTTCAATATCAGGATCAATATTTTCTGAAGATGGTTTTGAAGAAATAAGACTTACTTGTACAGTATTATCATTAGAATCACCTGAATTTTTATTCCATTCTTCATTCATATCATTTGAATAAGATTTTCTTTTCTTTCTTGTACTTAAAGCAGTTTTCATAAAAGAAGATGTTACACTTAAGCTTGTATCCTTTAATATGCCACTAATATTTAAAAGATCTTCAGATTCAATAGCAGTTTGTTCGCTATAATGAACTTTTTCTGGAAACACATCTGATGACAGCAAATTTGATTCATTTGAATTTTTAATATATGAATTATTTAACTCAGAATTTTGAATAGAATCTATTTTGGAATTATTAGTGCATAACATCATATTACATCCTGTTTCGTGAACATTATTGAACCATTCAATTGTATTTTCCGGGACCCAATTAAACTTTTCACAAGCTTGTTTTCGAGAAACATTTGTATGTAATACTTCAATAGACGAAACAATTTCTGGTGTTATATCCGCTTCATGTGTAACATCTATTTGATTTCTGTACTGTGTAATTGGATACATATTGATATCATTATTTACATTTGTTTGATTACTAATTGATGTAGTTGTTTTTTTACGTTTCTTTTTTTTTCCTTTTTTATTTCATGAGATTTATCAATAATCATTAATTCACGATATGTACCCGTAATGTTAGAAGCTATTTCGCTTGGTCTTCGCTTTTTTGTTTTTTTCATATGTGAATTAAAATTCTCTGCACTTTTACGACGCATCGCATCTTTTTCTGACTGTTGTTTTACTTTTACTTCAGCTTTTTTATGGTTACTTCCCCAGCAATAAATTAAAATTAAATATATCACAAGAACTTCTGAACATATTAACAACATATGTTGACCTATCATAGAAATTTTTCCACGCCAACTTTCACGATCATATAAAAGATCTTTTATTGAATTAGAAAGATTAACGACTTTTTCTTTTAAAATAGCAATTTCTTCTATTCTCTTTGTTTCGCGTTCATCTCTTTTTCGTGTTTCTTCATTCATTGCTGAGACTGTGCGTTCAAAAGATCTTTGCATTTCTTCTACTTGCTTTTTATATCGACGACTTAATTCTTCTAAGTACTGTCCACTTAAAGACATATTTATTTCTAATGCCTAATAAAAATAATAATATTATTAAAACCTATTTTATATATTTTAATATATATTATGTACAAGTATTAAGACAAATGTTATATTTTTATCGTAAAAATATAAAAATTAAAAAATTACATAATATTTATTATATATTATATGATAAAAGTATTATTTATATAATAAATAATTATACTACCTTGATTCTATTAGATAATCTTAAAAAAACAGATTCTTTTTGTGGTTGTGTCACTGAAGTACTTGCAGTAGGACCATTTTGAATATGTGTTGCTTCTCCTTCTAAATCTTTTAGATCAGACAATAAATTATCAAACATTAAAGAATCTTGAGAAGGTAATTTAATTTCTTGATCTGGAATTTCTATTTGTTCTTGTTTTCCTTCTTGTTCCAGATATTCTTTCTCCACTTTATTTGGTATATTAGCAAATTCCAAAGATTCTATATCTGATATCATATCATCACTTGCAAATTCATTGCTATCAGTAGTAGTTATTGAAACAGAAACAGTTGTTTGAGGTGAATTTTCAATAGAAATACTAGGAGTTGTAAATGGTTCTTCAGAAGCTTTTAAAATTGAATGTTGATCAATATTTAAAGATACAGGAACAGTTGTTAACACTTCAGCTTGAATAGTTTCTTCAATTTCTAAAATTGGTAATGATGTTTCATTCTTGATTTCTTCTTTTCCAAAAGTTTTAGTAGGTTTTATCTGCGAAGCTATACTTTTAAAGCTAGATGAAATTTCAACAGGTGTACTAGTGAATTTGCTAGTTTTTATAGATAGTTCTTGAATATCTTTTTTAAGTTCCTGAGAAGATGTATATATATTTGAATTCGAAGTACGTGTTGCTGTATAATGAAATGATTTAACTGTGTTACTATTGGAATCTTCTTTATCTCTATCTGATATATCTTCCTTAATGATTTCTTTAAAATTATCAAACTGTATTTCATGGCTTGCATTCATTACCATTTTACATTCTTTTATTGCTAATATATTACAAAGTGCCGCGATATATTCAGATTTAAGTATGGACGTTATAAATGTTAATTGAAAACGCAAATTTGAATCAAACATTTTATCAAGTTTGTCATATTTTTCTGTTTTTTTTACATTTTCATTTTTTTCTCTTATTTCTTTCTTTGCAAAAGTTTCAAATTCTACACCATGAATCTTACAAAGTCCATTTTGTCTTAAAGTTCTATTCACAAGGTCAATTTTAAGTAATTCATTTAACTGTTTTTCCCTACAACTAATTAATTGAAAAACTTTTGCAAATTTTTGATCTGAACAATGATCACAAAGAATAGTATATCTTGGTGTGGTACAACTAACAAAAGAATTTTCAAGAATATTACCACTATCTATACTTTGTTGAATTTTTGTAATGTTATTACAAGTCAAATCACTAGACTTTACTAATACTTCAGCTGCCTTCTTCATAATACTTAATACAGCATCTCTAGCACTACCAAACAAATTTCTTGGTGGTTCACCATTTTCAACATCCAAAACTTCTTCTTCATCACTATCTTCTTCGTCATCTACATTTACATGCGTTTCTCTCGGAATTTGATTCTCTGTCTCTGTTTCAAGAACTTCAAATTCACTAGTACCATAAGCACGAAATAAAGAAATAGGACAAAAATGTTCAGATCCATAATAAGTTTGAAGTTCTACTTTTATAAATTTTCCAAAAAGATGTGGTTGTAAAGCAAAATTTTGGATATCTTTTACATTTTTCGCAGTAAATTGACCAACTGGACTCCAGTCTCTAGTAGGAAAACGATCACTTATATAAACTGAAAAATCTTTTGGTGATGAACTGAAAAGTTCAAAATTGGCTAATTCAATTTTCTTGGCTTGAATTGCTTCACAAAGTTCTACCACGAACCATATACGTGATGTACATGTATTAAGCATATATTCATCTCTAGTGGAAACTAAAACGCTTCTAACGCTTCGCGCCTCTGGATTTGCAGCTACAATTTTTGCACCACAATCTGGAGAAGCATAATTTTTAGAACGAATTTTCATTCCACCGATTCCTCGTGTTGGCGCTCCAGAATTCTGAACAGATACATTTGGATGTGCTATAAAAAATATAAATATATATAAAATAGTTAATATAATTAAAAATTAAATCAATACTGATAATATAATATAAGATTTAATATTCAATATCAATAATTTAATATCAAATAGCAAAATTTAATACAAGAAATTTTTTTTATAAATAATAGAACATGATTTAAAAATACCAAACTTTATATCTTTAAAATATATATATATTTTTAAACATATTTGAAAAATGAATAAAAATTTCAAATAGAATTGATATGCAAAATGAGTAAAAAAATTTTGCAATTTTTTTGCAAAACAAAAATATTATTTTTAAAAATAATATTTATTTGAAATTTTATTGAATTTTATATTATAATTATATAAAAATATATAAATTATTTATTTTTATTAAAATATTTTAATATAGATGTTATAGAAAAATAAGAAAAATTGTACTAATTTTATATTTTTTAATATTATAATTATTGAATTTATAAATAGCATTTACTTTTTTTCCTTTCAGCTTCTTCTAATCTTTTTTGTGTCCATTCGCTAAACGATGGAATATCTTCATGTGGATTTGAAGATCCTACAGATCCAATTCCTTCACCAAAAACAACTGCAGCAGTTTCATCTCTATTATCTCCTACTAATCGGGCTTTAGCATCAGTATCACTTAATTCTGGAGTTGTTGTCATTTTATTGCAAATTTTAGAAATTTCATCTTTAGTAGGAAGTACTTTAATACTATCTTCAACTTTTGAGTCTGATCCATCAGTAACAATAGGTATTTGTTCAGCTCTTACTACTACTACTAATTCAGGTGTTTCTTCTTCTCTAACTGAATTTGTCAATAATAAAGATTCTATGTTGAGACTATTTGTTTCATTAGATTTTTCAGTAATTTCATTTATAATAGGTAGTGCTTGTATACTAGATAGAATTTCTTCTTGTTCTTTTTCTATTTTTTGACCTATATTTCTTAATTTCTTGCTTTTTGAAAACTCAGGATTAAGATTTGATTCTGTTAAACTTTGCGATTCTGTTACAGTCGTATTCATCAAACTTAAAATTGTTTGTTCATGTTCAGAAATTCTGTAACAGAGAAAACTAAATATATAAATGTCTTTGATAATTTGCAAAATATTTTTTTATATGAAATAATTAATAATATAAATATCCAAAAATTTTATTTATTTTTTATTTAAAAAAATCAATAATCAAATTTTTTTATTTAATGTAAAAAATTTTAAAACTTTTGTAATATGATTTAAAATTTTTTAAATATAATTAAAAATTTTTATCAGATTTATTTATATTTAATAATAAAGAGATGTTTAAAGTAATTCTTACTACAATATTTTTTTTATTGTTTAAATTAAAACATATCAAAAATGTTGTATTTTTAAAATATATCATTTAATTTTTTCCTTAATTAGCAATAATATTTTTATCATAAAACTAGTTAAAGATTATTATAATTATTACTATTCTTTTTTATACAATAAAATATACATTTTATTATAATAACTTATCAAAATAAATAATATATTTATATTTTTTCTATCTAGATTTTTTTTGTTTTTTTTTTATCTTCTTCATTTTCAATTTATTCACTTAACTACAAACATTATCTTATCAATTATTATTTTAACATTATCTTATCTTTTGTTTTATTTCTCAGATACAAATTATTAATTATTGTTCATATTTTTTTGTTCTAATAGTAATTTTAATAAGACTATTAGAAAATTAAATATTTCATACATTATTACAATCATGCTGCAATATTTTTTAAATTATTCTCATTGTTTCAGTAATTTTATGTGTAATATATTAAATAAATTTATCACTTATGTATATAAGGATTTTTCAAATTAATTGTGACTTTAATAGTCTCACATAGATATCATGGTAATATTCATGTAAAAATAAAAAATTTTTAGAATGCAAATATTATTTTAGTAAAATGAATAGAAATTAAAGCCAATACATATATATTTCTGTAAAGATTTATTTATTTTTCATTTATTGTACAAAACATTGAAAACATTCTACAAGAATATATATAAATATAAAATAAATTTTTATTTTATCATTTTCTTAATTTTTTAATTTAATAACTATAAAGTTTAAATTGAAATTCTAATAAGAAAAACTTTTGAAATATATATAGAATTTTATATATTGACTATATAAATTCTAATAGAAAATATAATAGAAAATATATATAAAATTTAAATGTATGTTTCAATAATTATATTTTAAAAAATTCTAAATAAAAATTAACAATCATTAAAGCATTAAGCATATAAAATAATGTTTTTGTTTGTAAACAATTCATATTTAACAAAATCAAAAAGAATATAATAGTATAAACTTTCTTTATGTAATTAAATATAATAAGATCTTTTTATATAATATTGATAAATATAAAAACTTACTTGGCTTGAGTAAAACTTTCCACTACAATATCTGTATCTTTATAAGAATTCTCTTTTTTTCTTGCTTCACCATTTATGATAGGTTCAAAGGTTGTAGATTCTTCAATATATTTTTCCTAAATTTTTAAATATGTATTAAATATTTTTACATAGATATATATTTTACAAATAAAAATTAATATAATAATTTTTAACAATATTTAACATTTTAATATTTTATTATATTTATAACATACTTTATTTTAATCCTTACTTCTAATTTGTGTAGATCATATAATTCAGTAATTGGTATAGTTGTATCTAAATCATCAACTCCCATATTTATCACCTCCGTATTATTATCAGTCTCAGATGTTTCATTTGTTTTAATAGAAGAAGAGTAATAACTGGTTTGTGCATTTTCAGAAGCTACTATGATAAATAAAAGTGCACTGTAAATAAAAAAATACTAAATAGTAAAAAAGACAAGTTTTAAATATTTGAAAAAATTATTTTTCTTATTTTGTTTTAAAAAATAAAATAAAATCATTTTTAAATTATACAAAGATAAATACATAATAATCTAAATATAATAATAAATATCATAATTTAAAATTTTATAAAATTCTTAAATTATTTTTATATCAAAATAATAAAAAGCATGAATTGTTGAGCATATTTAAAAAAATTTGTATTTATTTTATAATAAACTATATTTAAAACAAAAAATAAAAATTAAAAAATATATATTATGAAATAAATTTAATTTATATTTTTATAAATAATTTATATATAACATTAATTGTATTAATATTAATGTAAAGGATCAGGATGAGATGAAAATCATAATATAAGTAAAAAAAGCTATTTTTTACATAAAGAATTAAGTAAAAAATTTGTTATGAAATTTTATTTTCTAAGGCTTCATTTCCAAAAAAATAGATTTTAAAAATTTATCAAATACATGATTTATAAACATATAGCAATAAATTATCTTCTGTATTAAAAAAAGTACTTCTATTGATGAGAAACTATTTAATTTAATAAAATAGAATACTGTCATAATTTACTATATCAGTTATAAGTTTCTGAGATTAAAATTATTTGTGTTAAATCAGTCGCGTTGGTACAGTACCTTCTAATCGCCACATTTTAACCCCTTGATTTTCACTTATGAGAGCATATCAAACAGCAGGTATAAAAAGATGTTGAAAATATTATACAACTGAAACAAAAAATCATGCAAGAATTTGAAAAATTAAAAAGCGAAAACATATTAGAGTCCATTAGTTCTTCTTTAATTTAAAATACTGAATTATATATGCAACAACAGGGATAACATTTCCAACAATAAAAATAATAAAAACACAAACAAATAATCTGCAAAAACCTGTTGTATCATTTGAATTATATTAGTATCAACATTTATAATAATATAAAAAAAATATTTGTTATCAGTAACAAAATTATTATAGCCAATTCACTATTCAGACACAAATAATATAAAGAAATACTCTTACTATAGATTATTGAGAAGAAGTCCTCTGAAAGGAATGCAGGTTTCAATGGATATTTGTGATAAAGGGAATACAATCATAATAAAATAGGCATAGATATTGGCCTCATATCTACAAATAAAATCATAATAGCATCTCATGTAGGTGAACAAGAAGGGAGCTGAATATTTCCCAGCAATGCATAATATACTTACTTATATGTATATAATATATATAATATATATCTGATGAATTATTAAAATCAATTTTCTTGGAAATAAAGCTTTATACAAAAATTTCATATTAAATTTTTTACTTATTTTTTACAAAATCATTCCCTATTCAATATATTATTATTTTTATTCCATTTTTTATGATAAATTCATTGTAATTATTATAAAAAATATGTATTAAATATGTTAACATATGAATTAATAAAATAATATAAAAAGAAAGATATATATATATATAATTAATATTAATATTTAATATTATACAAGATGAATTATTCAAAATTGAAACATATAATATTCTTGTTGTTTCATTCATTCAAATAAAATCTTAATAATTTTAATTTAATTAATTTCTTAAAAAAATAAATCAAAAATGAAAAATAATATCTTAATAATATTAAGTTTTTTATTTTTATATTTTTAATATGGTATTTTTTATTTTGATATTATTTGATAAGAATAATAATAGAATAATAATTATTTTTTATGCCTACATATATATGTATGTGTGTGTGTCTGTGTGTGTGTGTGTATACATATATATATATTTTTATATAATAATTATAATATTTTAGTATATATATATTATTACAAAAACTATATAAAATGCTAAACATCATAAATGTAGATAGATTATCTGTTTTGTTTTTTAGATAAAAAAAAAATTAATATTATATTACAAAAATGACAATATTTTTAAAATCCGTATCTTATATTTTTTTTCTATTTTGTAATATAAAAAGATATAAATCTTATTTTAAAACAATAAATAATTTGAAATTATAAATATTATATATAACTTTTAGAAAGATAATTTTATTACAATTATAATACTATACAATATATTTTTAATAATTATTTTTAATAATTATTTCTTTCAAAAAAAAATATAATATAAATAAAATTAATCTTTTTTTATATAAACTATTCTAAAATATTTTCATCAAATTTCATTTTATATAACTTAATATACTTTTTACACTTAATTTTAGTTATATCATAAAAGAATATTGCAATAAATTTCATATAACATGTATTTTTATTTATTTGTAAATTATTTGTATATAATTTAATAAAAAAAACATTTAAAATATTTTTTCTTATCTTTAGATTAAATATTTTTATATTAAAATATTAAAAAAAGAAATTAAAATATCTTAGTAAAAACAAAAAGTATGTAATCAAAATATAATTTAGTAAAAAATATATTATTTCAAATATCAATTTTAAAGTCTTTTATACATTTTATATATAAAATATATAAGATATATATAAAAATAAAAAGCAATTAATTAATATTATAAAAATACAAAAATAATTATTTTTATTAAAGATTTTCATTTTTCATAATTTAATTACACATGTATGTAAATTGTTCATGAGAAAAAAAGACGAAATACTTACCTGGAAGCAACTGATATAAAAAGTAATATCTGATACACGTACGTAATATAAATCTTCATTTCTTTAAGTGCTTACATTACTCTTCTCATCAAAAATTTTACTGTCAATAAATGGATATTTTTGTAAATGTACAAATGTATCATCACTTTACCACTATACTATCGTCACTACCGCCGTTACTACCGCTACCGCTATTATCATCGCCTCTATCACCATGTTCATAACCCCTTTTATAACCATCACTACTATAACAGTTACTACGCACCAAAAATCTGACGTGGTACAATTAAGATGGTTCCAATATAAAAAAGATTGAATTATCCATAAATTTATTGCATATCGTTTATCGTGTTACATTAAAAATCATTTTAAATGAAATATCATGTAATAAATAATACGATTTTGTAGAAAAAATGTACATTTTATGTATATCTTTTTATATGTAATGAAACCAGCTGATTCCAGTAACGCATGCGCAGTAGGCATCTTATCAATAACTTTATTTAATAATCTTTTACAATATTATATTTAGATAATTATTGGATTATTGGACAATTAAATAATTAATATTTTTTAATATTAATAATAAAAAATCAAATAAATATTTTTTTAAAATATTTTTAAGTGTAAAAAATTAAAATTAATTTGTTTTTATATTTTTAGACATATTTTTGTATTTTGAAATTTCTTTATATATATATATTTTAAATAATTTAAATATTTATTATTATTTATATTAATTTTAAAATTCTATAATTTCTAAATAGATTTATTTTATAGATATATTTTATATGTAAATCAATTATATATATATTATTATATTTCACTATTAATATTAATTTTATTATCGATATTAAAGGTTAAAATAATTTTAATAAAAAAAAATCTTTTTAAATATATAATTCATTTTTTTACTATCTTTAAATAATTTTAAAAGTCTAAAATTATTATTTTTATTTTTTAATAAATTATATGTTAAAATTTCCAAATATTTATTTATAATAAAAATCATTCATAATCATATAAAATTTGTTTCTCTTCCTAAACTTATATAACTATTTTTCATTGATAGTATATATTTTTATATATATTATTATATTTTATATTATTACATCATATATATTTCTATATTATTATAGTAACATTAAATAAATTCTATTATTAAATATAAATAACAATATACGAAAAATATAGAAAAATAATTTCATTATTATTTCACTAAATAATCATAATTTTAAGTTAATTTTAAATAAAAATATCATTAAATGTATTTTATAATATTTAAATAACGTTATATAATTATTTGATATATAAAATAATGTATTTTACATAAAAAATTAAATTAATTTTAAAAATCATTTAAAATTATTTTAGATCATTAAAAATCATTTAATTTGAAACTAATTTTGATTTATAAAATTTTTATTTAATTAATTTATTTAATATATAACACAAATATTGAAATACCATAATATACATATATTTTTTCATTATATTTCATTTACAAAAGATTATTATTTAGATATAAGCATTTTTAGATTTAAAATCAATTTCTTTGTTATTTTTAACAAAAAATTTCTATTTATGAAAATATTTTATTAATTTTATATTTTTAATTAAATATTGTAAATTAAATTTTTGTTTAATATACAATAAATTTTTTATTGTTTCACAAATTTTCTAATTATTAAAAATATTATTAATTAATTTCATTTCAGAATTTTGTAAATTTAATATATATAATATATATGTTGATATATTATAAAGTAGAAATTGAACTTTATAAATATATTTAGAAAATTCATATGAATGTGACTTTAAGATTAAGTGTTCAATATTTCATATTATATAAATAATTATAATTTTATTATAATTTATTAAACGATTTATATTATATATGTATTATTATATCATGAAATTTTTAAACAAAATATTATAATTCTTTTTTAAAAATTTTATACTATATCTGAAATGGAACAAATCATAGAGTTTATAAAAAGCTTAAATGAATTAAAACTGAATTGGCTTTTGTGAGCAATTTCAAGCAAGTATCGTAATTTATTGAAAACTTCATATATGGGCAACGGAAATTTGGAATCTTATCATTATTATTTTACAATATTGTCATGTTATTAATAAGGTATTATGAAAATTATCTTTTAATGATCTTACAATATAGTTATTTTCAAAATGATATAATTTCATCCATTAATTTATTCATATTTGTTTACGATAAATTTTCACTGCATAACCTTCACTTTTCAATACTTTTTTTAAACTAGTATTTTTATTTTTATACAATTAAAAAATTAATATATATAATTTTTTACAGAATATCTATCTGTCACTTATTATAATTTTTTTGAATATGTATTATATTCAATTGCATGTACTGCGACATTTGCAGACTTAATATTATTTATCAATTTTCTATTGAAGTATGGCTGTACGTCGTGGAAAAAGAAATTTGAAATTGCAGGTTTCTGAAGAGACACCTGTACCTGTGTATGTAATATTATTAATCATCAAATTATTAATCATCAAAATTATTATATTACCAATATAAATTATTATATTACCAAAATGTTGTTATATATGTATTATATATATGTTTATTTTAAATAATATTATATTAATTTTATCATAAATTATTATTATATAATTATTATTAATATTATTATTTATTAATAAGAAAACAAATATATCGTAATTTGTCAAACATTGTTAATAAATTGACTTTTTTATGAAGTTAATAATTAATTCTATATATTATAGCACACCACCAAGAAATTTGGATAAAAGAACTACAATAACTATAGGTGATAAAACATTTGTAGTAGAAGCAGATGATTTAGAAACAATCTGTATTCTTGGACGTGGAGCATATGGTATTGTTGATAAAGTACGACATAAACAAAGTGGTACTATTATGGCAGTTAAGGTAATAATATATATTTATATGTATTTCTTGATATTTATAATTCAATTATTTAATGTATTTTATAGAGAATAACTGCAACAGTTAATACACAGGAACAAAAGCGTTTACTTATGGATTTAGATATTTCTATGCGTAGTTCAGCATGCCAGTATACAGTACAATTTTATGGAGCATTATTTAGAGAAGGAGATGTTTGGATATGTATGGAAGTCATGGATATGAGTCTGGATAAGTTTTATATGAAAGTATATAAACATGGACATGCCATTCCTGAAGATATTTTAGGAAAAATTGCCTTTGCAGTAAGAAAACAAAAATAAAATAATTATTAATTAATTCGTTATAATATTTATTACAATATTAATTATAATTTTAATTTTAAAAATTATAGGTAGTAAGTGCATTACATTACCTGTATTCACAGTTGCGAGTAATTCATAGAGATGTAAAACCTAGTAATATTTTAATTAATCGAAAAGGAGAAGTTAAGATCTGTGACTTTGGTATTTCTGGTTACCTTGTAGATTCTGTTGCCAAAACTATTGATGCTGGTTGTAAACCATATATGGCTGTACGTAATTTTTTAACATTTTTTTTTTAAAAAGCTTCCAGTTAAATGAATTTTGCGAATAAGTAAATCAAAAATAAAAATTTATTTGTTGTTTTTAAATTAGTAATATTTTTATTTTATTTAATATTAATTACAAATTTTTTAGATATTGTTTGTGAAATATAATTTATCTAATTAGAAATTTTGTATATGTAAATTTTTATATATATAAATTTATTAATTTATTCAATAAGTTTATTCAATAAATTCTCCATCATGACCTTTTTTTCAGCCAGAAAGGATAGACCCATTGGGTAACCCTTCACAATATGACATCAGATCTGATGTTTGGTCGTTAGGTATATCTCTTGTTGAATTAGCAACAGGAAAATTTCCTTATGAATCTTGGGGTACACCTTTTGAACAATTAAAACAAGTTGTAAAGGATGAAGCGCCCAAATTACCAGCTGGTAAATTTTCGGCTAGTTTTGAAGAATTTATCAATAAATGGTAAATTTAATTATCTTTATTATTATTTTAAATTCACTATATATATAGTTCAATTAATGATTATTTTTTCAGTTTAATGAAAGATTATATTGCCCGTCCAAATTATAATCAATTATTAAAACTTGATTTTATCACAGAACATGCCAATAAGGAAACAAATGTTGCTGAATTTGTTGAACATATTTTAGATATTCCTGAAGTTGAGTAATCAGCATAGTATACAAATATTTTTATTATAATATGTTACATAATCTTTAATGTAACTTCGTAATGTATCAAAATTATTTAATCAATTCTCTATATCTATTTCCATCAATCATTTATTATTCATTAATACATGCACTATAAATTGAAATATACTATAAAACAGAATATGTGTAACTTTTGTTTAAAAAATTATTTCTTCAAAAGTTCACTTTTTTGTTTATTCAATATGCGATTTATACATAATTTTCATAATAATTTTTGTATTCAAATTTTTTAAAACAGAAAGCAAAGTCATGTAAATAATTACATATAAAATCCAAATTATGCAGATTTACTTAATAAATATAATTGAAATAATAATGAATTAACGATATTTTAAACTAATGATATTAATATATATAATTTAAAAAATAATCATTTATAAGAGAATGTTATGTACAAATGTTATGTAGCGTTTTAAAAGAGTAAGAAACAAAATTAATTACATCTGTTTATTTATACAATAATTAATAATAAATATAGTTAAATATATTACACAACATAAACTCTAGATTAGCATTAAACAATTTTATTATATTACATAATTAAATATTTTTTTACTTATTTTATATGTAATAGCAGAATAAAATAAGTAAGAAATTAAATGAATTGTTTTATTCAATGAAATATTTGATAATAAATTTATAAAGATATAAGCTTCAATTATATTGAGAAATTTTGGAAAATGTACTACATTCTGAAGAATGTATATCTTATTTATAAAGTATTATTAGTTCATATATAAACAACATAAATTATATAAAATTTTTATTTTTTTTTGTGAATATACATATGTACTTTATGCAGAATGTTTTATATAAATTGTTACAAATTGTTTTTTTTAAACTTCATAAATATTGATGTAATTTTTTTTTAAATTTTAAAAAAGACTTTGGAGAATAAAACAATGGTAACTTTCATCTTTTAAATGGAATGATATATTAATTTTTATTATTTATTTATCAATAATCTAATAATAATCATATTAAGATTTGTATTAGTTTTAGAGAAATCATCTTTTAACATTTTATGTGAAACATTAGTATACATATATATTATATACTTATATATAATTATTTTTCATTTTAAGATTTTTAATCTTTTCAAAAACTTAAATCTTTTTAATATTTTAAATTATTTTTTCTAAATTTTTAATTAATTAATATAATTATATAAAATTATTAGAAATATAGTTACATATAGATTTTTTTTGTATTTGAATATTTTTTTTTTAACTGATAAATTTGTAAAAAAAAATTGCAAAGTTCTATTTTTTGTACATAAGATTTTATATATAGATTAAAAACAATATAACATTATTTGCTTATTAATTTTGAATTTTTAAATGAAATTATATATAAAACTTGTCATTTTTTTATAAAAAAAAATATTAAATTATTTTTTTACTTATAGGAAGGAATCATAAGTTCAGTAAATATTTTAATTTTAATTTTATAAAATTTAATATATAAAAAAGATGCAGATGTTATGTTTATTTTTACAAAATTTAAGTTAAAATATTTTCTAAAATAATAATACCTTGCTATAAATAACTTTAAAATATAAAAAAAATATATATAATATATGTAACAATGATGTCAAAGATATATAACAATTATTCATATACATACTTTTTCAAATTATTCAACTTTTATTTAAAACTTTTCCAATAAAAAAGTTTTTAAAAAGATTGATTTTAATGGAACATCCTATAGTGATATATAATCATATAGTTAAAAGTTTTATATTTTTTATAATATATAATAATGCTGATATATTGTTAATAATTATATAATAAATAAATAAATAATTCAAGGAAATAAGATAAAACAAATATATTTTGCTTATTTTAATATTATTTTTTATATGGAAATAATAAAATATATATGCACATATACAATAAGACAAATACATTAATAATTTCTATTTTTTTTTAGCTCCACATTTTAATTTCTAAGAAATTGGTGGCATTACATTCATTCCTTTACATTCAACAGCAATCTTTACACCTAATACAAATAATCCAATGCTTTTAACTACTGACCTGTAAATAAAAGATTGTGCATGATTATTTGGAATGTACTTCATCTATTTACTTAATTAAATAATAACTGTAAATTTTAATAAATAATGTTATGTTACTCAATTTTGGAAGTTCATAAAATTTAGGTTATGTAAAATATAAAAAAAAGTTTATTATTACATACCACTTAAAAGGATCATAATAAACATTTTTTACTAATTTTATAAAACCTGCCATTGTAATTCCTATTTTTGTAATGATATATCTTCACTTGTTCCAATTGTGTCTAGCAAGGTAATTAACATGAAATTGGAACGTTTAACTACAAACTTAAAGTAATTTCTAACGTACTACAAGATATAGCATAAAGTTACTGTGAATGAAAAGTAATTTTTGCATTTTGACTTGGTAATAAATATAATAAAACATTCTATAACATTCTTTACAGATATATTTTATTATTTTCATTAATATTTTATAATTATCACTAAATATTAATTTAAACAATTAAAATTTTTTGACTAGTTTATGCATTTTTATAAATTTTGATATGCAAAATTTAAAAATAATAATTTTAACAATTTAAAAATTAATTATATGCAGTCTCGCATTTTTAGGGATTTTTATAAATTACAATATATTTTATATTATTCTATAATATAACGCCATGTTGAATTTTTATCCAATCTGATTGGATAATATAAAAACGCGATAATTTTAAATTATCTTTCATTTAAAGAATTTTATAATATCATGTCAATTTTTTATATAATTAATTAATAGAAACATCAATGCTCATTAAATTCAAATTTTCTTTCGAAAAATCTATATTGAATCGTATATATCAATTTATTATTAGAATATTAATATAGAATATTAATTGTATCACATGGAATTCTTTAAATTAGTGTTTTTATCTTCTATAATATAATATAAAAATCTAATATAATTTTATGTTTAGAAGATAAAAGCACTAATTATTAGAAAATTTTAAAGTCACTTTTAAAATGACTTACGATAGCTATTATTTTCGAGATTCTATATGTCAAATCTATAAAAACAAAAAAGAGTTTAAAAATTTTAGTGCTCCAAATAAAGATTTAATCAAGAATATTACTTCATGTATTAAATTCTTATATCATTCATTATCAATATAAACATAAATAATAAATATAAATTACTTCTGAGATAAAAATTCAACAAATAAATAATTAATAATAACAAAATAAATAACAAATAATAATTATAATAAAAATTTTATATTATCGATACAAATACGCAGTAACATATGTAAATAAATCGATCCTGATACTATCATTTCATCAGTTAATAGCTGAAGACGCAGCATTTGTCACGTGATTTAAGTTCCATTGATTCAGTGAATGTACGTTTTCTTAGTGCAACTGAAACAAAAAAGAAAATTCAAACTGTTTTGAATTATATAAAAAAAACTTTTCTAATATAAAAATTTGAAATGTATAAAAGATATATGATACTAAATATATATACATATATGTATTTAATATTTTATGAAGAATTGTGATAATTTTAGAAGAAATAAAATTTATGTGATAACATGTTAGAAGACGGAATTACTACTACTATTTTATGTACATTTTTTATTATATTTTTCGTAGTTATATTAAATTTTTTTCAATATCTTGCAAGAGAATCGTATATTCATATTAGAGATGTTACAAAAGAGCATAACTGGAAATCCATTAAAAAAGAAAACAAGGTAAATTTATATATATGAATATATATATGTATAAAACATATATTTTCATATTCTTTTCAAATTAAGTTTAGTTAGTTTAGTTAGTTTACATTATATTATATATTAATTTAATATTCAAGATTATAGATATGTTACTGTTTATAAAAGTAAATTATCAATTAGAATAAAATATTGCACATATTTAGATCATAAAGGACTAATGTTCATTTTGGATAACATTATTCTTTAAGATGTTAAATGTACAATTATAATATATAAATAAGATATTAATATTCATAGAATACTTTTAGAGAGATTTTCATAACAAACAAAAATTGATATACAAAAATGTTATGTATTAATTATATATAAAAATTTATTAAACTATAAATAGTTTAAATTTATATTATATTATTAGATGAAATAAAATATAAATAAATAAAGAGAAACAGTTTTATCTCTATCACATTATTGTGACATCACACTTTCTCTTTATCTCACTTTATTTAACAAATTTCAATTACTTATAATAAGTCTATAAATGTTTTATTTTCATATATCAACTTTTGTGTTTATTTTGACCAAAAGTGACTCTAAAAATATGATTTATAAATATATTATATATTATATAATATTTTATAACATAGTGATATAATATTTTTTATATGAATATGCAATGATTAAAAATTTTATTTATAGGCATATTATTGTAGTATTTGTGAAAGCTTGTTGTTAAATATTAGTGGTTTAATCTGTGATTCATGTGGAGTTTGTGCTGATCCTACATGTGTTAAGATTGCAGATAAGCAATTAAAATGTAAAATTATTACTACAAATGTAAATGAACCAATGAATCATCATTGGATAAAAGGTATATTTTATTTTTCTATTTTTACATATATATATTATATAAGATGTATAAGCAAACATCTAAATAATTGTGTTTGATTATAATTTTGTTACCAATAGAATTAAAGAAAAATATCAAGAAGAAGATGAATAATTTAAAATATTACAGAATCATAGTTTTTTATAAGTGCAATGATACATGTATTTTTTTTAACTAAATTGAACATTCTTTGAATACTTTAATCATTTTATATAAAAAAGTATTAAAATAAAATGATAAAAAAATAATAGTTTATAAGATATTTTTATAAATATTTTTATCTTAAAGAAGATGTTCAAATATTTTTTCTTTATCATCACATCATAAAAAAGATTTAAAAGTATAGATTTTTAAAATAAATAATAAAAATTAAAATATATAATAATTATAAAAATAATCAAAAAAGTTATATGAAATGTTTAGAATATAATAGAGAAGTATTTGAATATCTTCAATAAAAATATTTATTGAAATATCTTGTAAATTATATTTTACCATTTTTATCTCAATATTTTTGTACATAAAATAAAGAGAATGATTAATCTGTAAAAAAAATACATTTTCATTTAAAAAAATGATGTAATTATTGAATGCATATATAAAAATAATCATGCATAATATAATATTTAAAATTAAATTATTTACTTTGATTTTTTTAATATAAATTATTAAAATTATGATATTGAATTATTTAAATTAAAGTATTAAGTCATTTAAATTAATTTTCATTCATTTTATATATATAAGGAAATTTACCACTAAATGTCATTTGTGACATATGTAATGAAGATTGTGATATGGAACCTGGATTAACAGATTGGTGGTGTTGTTGGTGTCATAGGTGTGTCCATGATGACTGCAAATTTAAACTTTCTAAAGTATGTTTTTATATTCTTTAAATAGTTACTTACAATGTATAAAAATTATTTATTAAATTTCTTTAGATATGTGATTTTGGGAAATTTAAATTAATGATCATTCCTCCAAGTAGTTTAGAAGTAATAAATCTACGAAATACTGTAAGACGTAGATTACGTCTCTGTAAAGTTATACCTCCAAATTGGCCTCAATGGAATCCTCTTATAGTTGTTGGTAAATTAAATTAAAATATTATAATAATATAAAAAAAACTCGTTAAAAAGTTACCTTCTCACAGTTTAAAGAAATTTTTTTTTATTCAAATCATTGCAATATACATGTAATAAGAAAAATAAAAAAAAGAAAAAAGAACTGTATTCCAATCATTTAAAAAAAAAAATTATAATTTATAATTTACATTAAGTAAAAAATAATTAATTTGCTAATATGCATTAACATAGTTAGTTATAAATATCGAATTAAATTATTAAACTAAATTATAATTCCCAATGATTATGCTAAACAAATTGATGTTTTTCAATTATCTTGAATTGTTTAATTTTTTATGTCACATAAAAACTAAAAAAATTTTATTTAAAATTCTGAGGAGGTATTTTTATAGCATGGTTATTTAATACAATTATATATTATATATATATACATATATGTATATATATAATTTTTTTAATGGTTACAATCCAACTTACGACATTTTTTTTTAGCAAATAAAAAATCTGGTAATAATGATGGAGCAGAAATTTTGTCTCTGTTTAGGAGGTTATTAAATCCTGCACAAATTGTTGATTTATCAGAATGTGATCCTGTTGCCATTCTTGAATGGTGTCGTTTACTTGGAAAAGTAACATGCACACTCCTTGTAGCAGGTGGAGATGGAACAATAGCATCTTTATTAAATGCTATTCATAAAGTGGGACTAAAGGTAAAATATGTATATATGTATGCCTTATATATTTAATTTGTTATTTTGTAATTTCTTAAATTATTTAAAATAATTTTTAAAATATATTCTAAATAAAATCTACAAAAAAATAACAAATAGATATTATCTAAAATAAATATATTTGTAACAGCCAATTCCATCTGTAGCAATAATTCCTTTGGGAACAGGTAATGACTTATCTAGAGTATTAGGATGGGGAAAAGAGCATGATTTAAACAAACAGCCTGAAGATATTCTACAAGAAATACAAGTAGCAGAAAAAGTGGAACTTGATAGGTATATAAAACAATATAATTTATTAAATTGTTTTCAATATGTATAATTATTTTAATATTTTTTTTAGATGGACTGTAATAATAAAACCATATGGTGGATTAGGACTTAGAAGTTCCCATCAAATATTCTACATGTATAATTATTTAAGTGTGGGTGTAGATGCACAAGTAACATTAAATTTTCATCGTACAAGAAAGAGTCGTTTTTATTTTTATAGTAGTCGATTATTGAATAAGGTATTGTATTTTATTTAATGATTATTTAGAAATTGTAGCAAACAATATTTGTTTCTATTTTGATAGCTATTGTATTTGTGCTTTGGTATGCAACAAGTAGTTGAACGAGAATGTAAAGATCTTAATAAAAATATAGAATTATATTTGGATGATAAAAAAATAAATTTGCCATCCATTGAAAGTATTGTAATATTAAACATTCCATCATGGGCTGCTGGTGTTAACCTGTGGAATATGGGATTAGAAGGTATTTATATCCTTCTACATAAAACAATTAAAAAAATATAAATATTTTATATTGAATAGGTCATGAAAAATACAGTAAACAAAGTATCAATGATGGTAAATTAGAAATAGTTGCACTTTATTCTTCATTTCATATGGCTCAACTTCAAGTCGGATTATCTCAACCTTATCGGCTTGGGCAAGCTAATAGTGTAAAGGTATTTTATCATAAATAAAATTATTTGAATAATTTAAAATTTTTAAGAATATTAATCTTAGGAATAATGAAAATTTATAATATTTTATATATTTTATATAATTTTAAAATATATATGTAGGTAAAAATAATAAAATCTTGTGCTATGCAAATTGATGGTGAACCATGGTATCAACATCCTTGTGAATTTAATATCAAATATTGTAATAAAGCTACTATACTTATGAATTCTATTAAAAAAACTATATAATTCTTTCTTTTTGAAAAATAAGAAAGATTCAATTACATATACATTCCAAAGTATGATTTTAGGTGGATAAAATTTACTACTATATCATTAATATAATAATAAATGAAATATAAGATGTAAATTATTTTTCACGTACGTAAATTTTATAATTTTATTAATTATATATTTTAAATGTTATTATTATTAATATATTATTAATATATTATTAAATTTTGAGATATATATTTTTTCTTTATATGTAATAACATTTTTTCATTAATTTTTTTTCTTTAGAGTAGTTAATTATATTATTTATTACAATAGAAAACAAATTATTTATAAAATTATGATGAAACTATTTCTAAAATAATATTATAATTCCAATAGGAATATATGGGAATGATAACTCAAAGAATGAGAGGAAGATGGATTTTCTTGGTGTGAATTTATATCATCATGTATAGGAAAGGAAAATTGTAAGTGAAGAGTAAAGAATCACTTAAGGATAATTTCACATTGAAAGAAAGGGAAAAACAAGTCGTGCAGTAATAAGATTATGAAAACTAAAAGTTGAAATAATATGCCAATTCATTAAACGTTTTTTTGGCCTAATAGATTTATTGATAGATTCACTAAAAAAATATATGAAAATTTTGGAATAGTAAAGATGAATTTAACGTTTTATCACAAATTTTTTTATTTTTTTATTCATTTATTCATATAGATGTTTTGTAAACTTTTTTTGTTACCAATATAAATAAGATTTTATAGGAAAAAATTTTTTTTTAATTTATTGTTACTAGTCCATATATCTCATATGTATATTAAAAATCATGTATCTAAATTTTTCCTTATTTTATAAAAGTATATGAATACAAGTATATATTATATTTTTTTAGATCCCAATTGAAATTTATTTAAAAATGAGATTTTTTTTTACAAATTGGTACAAATTTAAGAGATCTGAAACTTAAAATTTTAATGTTAGAAATGCATAGAATTGAAATTTTGTTTAAAATTTTATTTTATGTGTTAGCCGCCATATTGATTTTTTTTATTGCTTGACCAATGAAAAAAAATCAAGTTCATTCCCATTCCTCTTGTAATAGCGTAACATATGTATAAACAATAACTAGTAACATGGATATTTACCATATTCACAATGATTCACAATATATTCAAATAATATTTCGATAGAATATTTTAGTATTTATTCAAATTTAAGTTTCTTTAAATCTGCGAAATACAAAAATAAAATATAAAACAATCTGAAAGTATAATAAACTTTATAATAATATTAGTCTTAATATCTATCTATATTTTCTGTAAACATGGATAATCAGAGAAGTCAATATGGCGATCAATATAAAATAAAGTATTATTAAACATGTTATGAAACACTTATTTCATGAATTCCTAACATTAAAATTGACTTTTAAAATTACTTGTCAAATTTTATTAATTTGCAAAAAAAATTTTTTTTAAAATTAAAATTTTCGGAAAAATAACTTTTAAAAATTTTTGAAAGTTTTATGTCTGCAAAAGTAAAATTAAGCTCCAAAAAACATTGCATTATATATCAACTATTATATATAATATATATAATAGTTAATTGCGTTTAAACGATTTTGAAACACTTATGTACATAAACTTCACAATTTATTATCTTTAATACTTGTAAATACATGTATATAGTGTAGTAGATATGTTCAAAAAAATAGCCCAAAATATTCGATCTTTATGCAAATTTGAATAAACTACATAGTTTTCGTAAAAACCAATCAAAATGATCCACAACTTCTGAAGTTGATAAAACAGTATGGTATTGCATGGTGAAATTCCCCACATTAGCGCAGTTAAAATATTTCGCGGGTAAAATGGCGTTGTGGAATAAAGTGATTTCAGGCTATAATAAAGAAGAAGAAACGGTAAATTTTGGAACAAGAACTATAGTGGAAAATAATGGCTTGTTGTATGAAACTTCTACTGTTGCAACTATACAATCAAATGGAAGGGTACTTTATAGTTTTATCTAAATTTTGACGAATTTTAATGCATACCTGATCATATTGAAATTTAATATTTTAAATATATTTTAATAATTATAATTATAAATATTATTATCCTTAAATTTTATATATTAATTTAATATTTTTATTTTATTAATATATTTATATTTTAAGCATTGATTATATTAAAAAAATTTTTAATTGATATATATATATATATATTAAATATTTTATATTTATAAGGTAGAACAAGAACCAAATATTTTAGCATCTATACAATATTCAAGAGTTTGTGTATTAATTGATAAATCAATTACTATATTTGAAAATGAAACATGTGAAAAAATATTATTAAATGTTAATTTTGAATTATTAATAACAAGTTATTGCATTTCTCATGATGGAATATTTTTATTTGTTGCATTATCAAATGGAATGTTGTATTGTCTTCATTTATTAAATAAGGGACAAGTAATCTTTACAAAGTAAGTTTTATATATATTTATAATTTTAAAAATTATATTTTTTATAACATTATTCTATTTTTATATGTAGAAATATTACAACAACTGAAAATAAAATAATAACAATATTTTTACAAAATGAATCTGAAGAATACATTAATATATATCTTACCACAAAAAGTGGAATTATTTATAGGTAAATATCTAATAATTGTATGTATTTTAAAAAAATTTATTTCAACTTTAAGTTGTGTATAATGTACATTATAATTATTATTAAGTTTTATAAATAATTAAATTATTGATATTTTAGAATATCAAAATTTAATATTAAACTTATTCAATCAGCTATTACAAATGAAATAGATATTAATATATTAATGGAATTGACAGAAAAAATTAAATGTGTACAGTTATTTAAAGGATTTTTTTGTGATGAAGTAAGTTACATTTATATTTCAATGTTTATATATTATATATATAAAAATATATTTCTATTGTAATTTTATTTGTTATTTTATGATTTTTCATAAGTATAATAAAAAAATTTATAGGTAATATATGCTACTATAAGTTTGATAAATAAAGAATATCAATAGCTATGTTATGTTCAAATATGTTATTTATGTGGCCTAATGAATGTTATATCAATTTTAATACATTACATTATAATTATACCAAAATAAAATTTTTTAAAAATTATATGTAAGTATTTGTAAAATTTTTAATCAATAAAATTATTAATTTTAATAATTTATATTAATTTTGATAATTTTATTTTAGTGCAATGTTATGTTTACGTTCAGATTATATATTAAACTTAATATGTCCTCAAACTTTACTTGGTATAAAAGTGTATTCAAAACCTGTATCAGATTTTGTAATTATTGAAAATAATGATAATACTTTATGTCAGATTCTTGTGTTAATGTTTGATACTAATTGCACTGAATATACATTACAAGTTCTCTCATATCCAGGTATAAAAACGTAATAATTTTATGTTTATATTTTTTTTTTTTGCATTGATTATATATATTTATTTTATTTTATTCAGATTTTGAAAAAAAGTTTCAAATAAATGTACCAACTATAATACACCTTGTTGAAATTATGGATCCTTGTGATGAAATAATTTTATATCTAGAAGGAATTAATGGTTTTGATAATGATACTAATTATATAGATACAGTTAGAATAAAAACTATATCAGAAAGTGATCCTGAATATCAATTACAACGCTTAATAAGAAAAGAACAATTTGATGCAGCTGAATTTTTTGCAAAAAAATTTAACTTATCTACAGATCCTATTTATTATGCAAAGATTGCATTGCTTTTGTCACAATTTGGACCTTGGGCAAAAGAAAAGCCCAATTCTCTTCAATTAGATATGATTCTTAATATATTTGATAAAATAGAAAATGTACAGTATATTGTAGAATGTTGTAGCAAAGCACTTATACCTGATTATAAACAAATGAAAAAAATTTATTTATATGCACGTTCAAGAATAATAGAAAATATCTCTGTAAGTAACAAAATTTAATTAATTTTTTTATATTTCATATTAATAATATTTATCTTATTGATTTTAGAAAAATAATTATTTGTGTCTTCTTTCTTCAATTAATAATACATTGCATAAATTAGAAACTTTTCATATGATTTGGGGATACCAAAAAAATTTAGAATATTATGATGAAGATACTATGAAAGAATGGATTAGATTTTCTCGAGCAGATTTAATAGAAGAATATAAAATACATCTGAGTTTGGTACAAACTAAACTTATAATGAATTTAATTATAAATTCTAAATTAAATTTTTTATTATAGGGAGAAATGGAAGCAGCTACTTTAATTTGGACGAGACATCTTGCAAATATAATGAAAGATATATCTATAGAAATTGTAAAGGATATATTTGGGATTCTTCCTGACAAGATATCTTTACTTTCCCTTTGGACGTGGTTATCACATTTTATTCCAAATATATTGTCATTTATTCCTAATGCAATGTCTGAAATTATTGTCTGGGGTTATAAAAAAGTTAATCATTTGAACAATCTCATCGTTCAGAATGGCCTCAAATTGGAATTGATTTCACAAGAAAGTTTATAAAATTGTTGAAATTTCAAGAAAGTCATCAATCTTTATACTTTCAAGAATGTTTAAACAAAGATACTAATTTAAAACAGCTTATTCTTTAATACAAATATTGTCTGATATTCAAAAATTGAAAGTTAATTATAGGTATGTGTTACAATTTTTAAAATTTTTTAATTATTCAAAATAATTATTAAACTAATATAAGAATAAAAAATTGCAGATTAACAATATCTCTTAACTCATACATTGGAGATCCTATAGAAGTATCATACATATTATTAGATAAAATACATATAGATATAATTTTAAAATTGTGAATACATTTTTAAACCAATACATGTTAAATAATTCTCTACAAAGTGATTATGTTTTTTCCTCGTATGTACAGGTATGCTTTAATTAAAATTATTCAAAATAAAATTATTAAAATTTTATTATATATTGATAAATATATATTAATAATTACGTTTTTATAGAAAACTCTAAAAAATTCTAAAAGTTGGTGGTCAGGAGAGGAAGCTCCTTGGGAAAAAAAAATTGTTATTATTATTGATTTAATTCAAGATATAGAGGTATATAAAACTAAAGAGATTATATTGTTGATTATATAAGTTGATTATATAAGAAATATGATATAACTTATATAAATTTATTTATTTTGCAGACTAAATTACAGCAAATATTAGAAGTATTAAAAAAAGCTGTAGTTCCATGGACATCAACTATTGTATCTCTAATAGAAACAAGTTACGATTTTGATCATATTTTAACATCTCAAATTAGAATGGAACATAACTTTGTTCCAATTAAGCTTATTTTAAAAAAATATGGATATGAACGCATTGGTATAAATAATGTTAGTAAACTTTACTAATTTTTTATAGAAAAAAAAGAACTGTGTTTTAAAAAAATATTTTATAAATGTTTAAATTTTATTGCAGAAATTAATATACCGAATAATAAAAGAAAATCATGATAGTATGATTTCTGATATTCAGCAAATAACTAAAAATGATTTATTTTCAAGAAAAAAAGCATTTTCATCTTGTGTAAATTATTATTTAATTAGAGGGTAAAATTTGTTAAATAAAAAATATAAATTATAACAATTCCAAAAATTATTAAAAAAAATTAATAAAAAAAAATTTTTGATTTTATAGGAATTTTGAAAATGTAACAAAGATATTAAGTTTCTTAGAGGATGACGTTTTATTATATTGTTGTATACAAATTGTTAACTATATAACAGCTAGTTTAACATTAAAAGTAATTTAAAATGTTAAAATCTTTATTTAAAAAAAATTTATATTTTTCACACATATGTTATTTATATTTATATTTATTATATAGATTATACCTAAATCTCTCATATACAATATTGAGATGTTGGGTTGGATAAAAATACAATTAAAAAAACTTTCAAAAAAATGTAAAACTCAATCATATCATTGCAACAATGTTATTAATAGTATAGACGAAATAAAATCAATATATTATTTAAAAAAAAATCTCGAAATTGATGTAACATTTGAAGAATATCAAATTAAAAAAAACAAATATTACAAAATTATGTTAAAAAACTATGTGATGGTATGAAATAATTTTTTATTTAAATATCAAATTAAAGTTTTAATTTTTATAATAATAAAATAGTTTATATAATGATAAATTTACAGTAGATATGGAAAAAGATAACAGTTTATTTACTACTTATAAAAAACTTATTCAAGCTGCAGATTTACTTAAAATACAAAGAATTTATGCAATATCTATATTAATTGAATGGTCAAAAAATGTAAAACTATTAAATTATTTTATTAGGTAAATGAATTTTATCTTTTTATGGAAAAAGAAGCAATAATATTATTCTTGAAAATTTGTATTTTTATTTAGATGTGAAAAAGGACAATTAAATATAATGACAAATGAATGCTATTATGCATATAAAATGTGCTTATTTATAATGCAGCATATTAAAATAGATGCAGATATTGCAGTTACAATTCAGAATTTAATTTCTGCTGCATTATGTGTATGTTTAGATGGTAAGAAAATTATTTAAATATTAATAATTTGAAACATTATTAAAAAAATATATATTTTTATAAATTTTTTAGATGAATTACAATCTATGTTATTATTGTATATATGGATAAATTTATGTTTTAAATGTTGTAATATAAACTTTATAAACATAAACACAGTGGATGTACAATATGAAGAAATAACAAGATCAAACTGGAAATTGTATACAATATATAAAGATTTAAATATTAAAACTGATGAATTTTTATTACCATTATTTAGAAATGTAATTTCTATAGAAAGATTTTATATGAATATATCAAAACCTGGTAACTTAAATCTTATCAATAATAATTATAACAAATATGCTTATATACACATTTAAATATATTTATATATAAATAATTTTTTATTTTACATTATAGCAATTAATGATGATGTTCAAAATTACAAAAAAAATTGGGTAATTAACACATATATGTTTTTATAACAAATATGTATATTCTTATTATATATATGTGTGTATGTGTGTATTTTTCAGTCAAATATAGAAGAACCCATAAAGGATTTGCTTAATAAAATTATGGAACTAAAAATGGAACATAGCGATTATATTTTATTGCAAATTATTAAAACATTATATTTCAATTTTTGTGCTATATCAAACATAAATGATAATATATTAATAGAAATTAAATTAGTATATTTTCATTTTTTAATAATATTATTAAAAAAAGTAATAAATAATCGAATGTTTGATCTTCAGCTTAGTCTATCGTGTTTATTTATGTTATCTGATTCTGAAGCATGTAAATGGATTTCTTCTACTTGTAAATCGTAAGTATCTAATGTAAATATAATGTAAAAATAATAATTAATGTAAAAATATTTTTTAGATTTCAATCAGATTATACTCGACATTTAAGAATAACAATGCTTGGATATGAATATTTTTATTTAACAAAAAATCAAACTTTGCAAACATTTAAAAATAATAAAATATTATATTATTGGGCACAAAAGTTATCTAAATATTTAGTTTCATATAAAGGTAAAAATCAATTTATTATTTCATCTTTTATCATACATATAATATCCAAAAAATGTGGAAATACCAATTAACTAAAAATTCTTGAAGTAATTTCAAGTAATATTTTCAATTTTTACAAAAATTTTTTTTACGGTTTTATTAACAAATTAAAATTATTAACAAATTATTAACAAAAAATATTGACTTACAGAGCGCGAAATCAAATGAACAATTTATTCATTTTATGCGAATGATAATTAATTAGTTTATTATTCTTAAGTAAAATTCGATATAATTTTGTTTCAATAAAAAAATATTTGTTATATTCAAGATTTCCTTAAAGATATTGCTTCTCATGCTTGGCATCTAATGTTTGATTAATCGTAACCAATTTACTCAATTTTTTGTTAATAATTTATTAATAAAATTGTAACAAAAGAAAATTACTTGAAATTCAAGAATTTCCATTTTAATTGATGTTCCCATTTTTGAGATGCATATACACATATGCTTAATAAAAAAAATATAATATTTATATATACATACAGAAATCCTAACAAGTGACTCAGTAGCTAAAAGAGAAATATTACAACGTATTATGAGTTATGATGAAGATCTGATTCCTTTATTTCAAGAATTTTGTTTTGATTTTGGTTTTGATATTCAAGATTGTTTATTACTTTATCTACAAACAATAATAAAAACATGGAATCCAAAATTAAATATAAGCAATTATAATGGAAAAAAAGGTAAAATAATACAAAAATTAATTTCATTTCATTATTTGATATTTTTAACATCATAATTATGTTTTTAGAATTACATATTAATGAAGATGATGTAAATCAATTAAATACAAAATGTAATTCTATTACTGCCTATATCTTGGATAAAATTGCCTTAAAAAATTGGGTTACAACGATTTTCTCACAAGTATGAATAAAAATATTATTTCTATTAACATAATAGATATAATATGTTCAAGATTATAAATTTATTATTTCAGATAAATTTTTATCATTATGAAATATTTATAATTCTTATGGATCTCATAGAAGATAAAAATATTGAACATAGGAATTATTTATGTTTTTTACAAAATTATATTCGCACTGGGTAAGTATATGTTTAAGATATTAAATAATATTTTGCGAAACTCGATGTTTATTTAAATATTATATATCTCGTATTTTTTTTTAGTCCACCTACACAAATAGAATATGATGAATGGATGCATTTAAATCCAGGATATACATCCTTACCATTTATAGCAGAATGGCGATTACCTTTTTTACCTAAAATTGAATTATGGAAACTTATAAGTAAAGTTCTTTTATTGAGTTCTATTTTATTCATTTATTTTATCAAAAATTTGTCAGAGACTTTCAAAATCTGATATCGAATAGAATTTATAGAATGAAAACTTTTAGATATAAATAATTTTCAATATTTTTATTTGCATTCATCAGAGATTGAATAATTTTAGATTAATAACGTATATATTATGTATTATTATATTATTCGATTTTTGATAAAGCTAGTCGTAATGCTAATGTAAATTTATATTAAAAATACAATTTATACTGAAAGTTTTAATATAAATTCTATTTATTTTGTTTTAATGAATAGTTTAAATTTAATAAAATGGTACAAAATTGTATATAATTATCTCTTAATATTAATACAATTTCAGCTCCTGAATTAAATTTGAAAACTTATGAAAAATGGTTAGATATTGCTGCTATTCTTAAATTACAACCTCATATTATATGTACTTTAGCTATAAAAGGTGAAGTAGCACATACTTGGAAAAATAAACACAAAACAGCTAAATGGTCCCTTTCTTCAAAAAATAAAAGTTTGTTAAATCATATAAAAAAATGTATAGAAAGAATGACTGGTCCAGATGCACTGTATTATGGCACTGCAGCATTATATTATGTTGTAAATCATACACCACCAGGTATTTTATATAATAAAATATTAATAAAAATATTATTTTATTAGAAAAATATGTAAAATAAATTAAAATAAAATAATTCATTTTTTATTAGGAGCTGATCAAGTGGCAGCAGTTGAAGAATGTTATAAGTATGCACAGTTATCAGCTCAAAAATCTATGATGTTTGAAGAAGGAATGTTAGAAGTATATTTTTTGTTTTGCTTTTTTTTTTTATCTTAGTAAAAATAATAATTTAATTTTCATAATATTTTCTTTTTATTTTAGAAAATAAAAGTTAAATATTTACGTTTTACATCGGAACATATTTTACATGTACATGGCTTGGGTAATAAAAAGTATTTATCATTAATCGGAAATCCGAATAAATTAGTCCATGAATTATATACAGATGAAAGTATACCTCAAAGATATCGATGTGTTATTGATCATAGACCTGATATAAATTCGGCAGTTAGTTCAATTAGTCAATTATTTTCTATTAATCTGATAAAATTACGAATAGAATTATTACAAGAATGGTTACAACCAGATATTAAATATATGAAATTTAATCAAAGTATAACAGAAACATTTCCGATAATAGCAAATTCAGAATCGAATTTAAATCGTGATGATAAGTTATTAAGGTATATTATAATATTAATTTTATTTGAAGTATTTTTTTCTTACATATATTATATAAATATTTAAATATCAATATTATTTTCAGAGCATGTTATATTTTAGAATGTGGAGATCTTGAATTATCAGCTAATTTTCTTATAAATATAGGTTTTAGTGAAAAAAATGAAGATTATAGTCCAGAAGTTCGTTATAGAGCTCTTTGTGTATTGCAATCTATAGTTGATACTGCTAAATTAGAAGATTTAATTAAACGAGATTACCAAACAATTAAGTAAATATTTTATTTCTAAATTATTTGATATCATTTATCAAGTAATAAAATTAAAAACTGTTAAAAACTATTTTGTTTTATATAATACTTTTAAATAATTGTATTTCAGAAATTATATGAGATCTTTGAAATACATAAGTAAATTGGAATTGTTAGGAATAGGATATAGTATAAATACATTTGAAATGTGTTCTAAACATGAACTTGTAGAAATTTTATGGAAAACACAAAATTATTCGCCACAAGCACTGATTATTATTGCACAACTTTGTATAGATTTTGAAATATACGAATATTCTCTCTGGGACAAAAATTTAACAAAAATGGCTAAATTGTTAATGGTATATATCATTAATATAATATTAAGTATAATATAATATTAAAGTAATGTAAAAAAAAATATATTTTTATTATATTTGCAGATTAATGAATTAAAAACAATTTTATTACAAGTACAAAATATAAATACCATTGTAAATTCTAATGGATATTTATTTGGATGGGAAGTAATAATTTCAGAACCTTTCAAAAAAATGGATATGAATCCAACTTCTGAACAAATTGAAAATTGTATTGAAGTTTTACAACTTTTATATTCATGTCCAGTTTTATATGCATTAAATTTCTCTAACATCATAAAATATTGTTTTCAATGCCAACAATTACATTTAGTACTTGCATTTTTGCCATTTTTAAATGATGATGATACAATATTTGTTTTGGAAGTAAGTATTTTTGTATTTTATTTAACTAATAAAATATTAATTGTATTAATTGTTATTTTATGTTTATATATCAGTTTACATATCAGTTTACATATTAATATATATTATACATATTTACATATTCTATCTTTTATAGAAAATTAAATGCACATCTAATATTACAAAAATATTAGAAAATTTGAATAACTTACATTCAAGTGGAGTACTTTGTACAGCTTATGTAAGTATATTAAATATTATTTTATATAAATATAAAATATAATTTCAAATTGAATATTCTTTTTCAGTGTAATAAAATTATAGAAAATACATTAACAAACATGAATAAACATTCAATAAAATATGAATAGCTTTTGTCTTAGAAAAATAATAAATAATTCTTTTTGAATTATATTATTATATATATATATTATTAAAAATTATTTGAAATTTATACTATTCATTTATATATTCTATTTTTATATAAATTTATTACATGTTAATCATTAATATTTCCTTTTTTAAATTTATTATATATCTATTATACATATATATATTATATATTGATTTTATATATACATTGCATGCTTTATTAATTAATCATTAATAATCACAATTATTTTCAATTAGTTGTATAATTTATTATGCCATTTATCTTGATATTCTTCAATTAATAAAGATTTATTTTGAAGTAATTTTATTTTAAAATTTTCTTCTTCTGGTTCTGTCTTAATTGATAATAATATACATCGATTTATTATTAAATAGTTTGGATTATCAGGACTTCGTTTCTGAATAAAATCTATTTCATCTCCAAGATTAACCTGCATATTAAAATTGATATATTTTTGCTTTAACATGTAATATTTAATGTAATATTTTTATTTTTATTATAATACCTTTATTCCTTTTTTAAAACATTTTTTTCCATTTAAACGTATATTACTCATATAAAATTCTTTATCCACTTTTCTAAAACCAAAAAAATTGTATAACTTTTATTTTAAATTATTTAATATAAAACAATATAAGAATTAATTAATTTCATTAAAATTTTGATCTTTAATATCTGATTATAATAAATTATTTATAAAAATCACTATTGATAAATAATAATTTAACATACGCTCGTGACATTCCAAATCCAGCTTTAGCAACAGCATCTAATCGAAGAGATGGTACTGTAGTTACTATTATTTTTGACTTTTCTGTATTTAAATAATCATCAACAACTGCATCATTGTCATTATTATCATATTCATCATCATCTTCTGTTTTGATTTTCTTTGTATTTATTCTATATATACATATGCATATATATTTAATTAATATTTGATTAATAATATATTTTCAATTATCAAGATATAATTTTAATAATTTGTGAACATATAAATAAAAATATGATGCTTGAATGTTAAAATAAATTATTAAAACGTATTTGTAATAAAATTATCTTACTTGTTTTGAAATCTTTTTGTTGCTATTGAATCTTATAAATGTTACAGATATAAGATTTTGTTGTGGATTTAAATAATTTATATGTAAATTATAACGTTTAGAATTAAACTCTGATATATTTTTTAATGTATAAAATATTTGTGTATTTGTACATACTGTTCTTCGTATTACATTAAAAATTATCCAATGTAACATATTGTTTAAAATCAAAAACGGTTTTAAAAGGTTAGGTATTATTCATAGCAATATTTCACGTTTGATTATGAACCTATTTTTATGTTATATGCAAAATTTATGAATTTCAAATATTTTAAAATTTATTAATGCCAAACTAAATATCTTATTAAAAATTTATATTTAATTTAATTTTTTATCAGAAAAAAATCTATAAGCATTTTTTTTATTATTAACAAAATGAGCTATTTTTAATAAAAATTCAAAATCAACATATATTAATAATTAATTTTTTAATATATCATATTACTTTTTATAAAAGTTTCATTTCATTTTCACTTATATTAGATAAGTTTTTAGATAAATATGTTTTAAAAAAGTCATTTTTTTCATTTATCTTATTATTTCATTTATATTATTTATCATACATTATTTTTTTTATATTGAAATTACATTTTGTTTATTAGTTTGTAATATAATTTATAATTTTTTTTTTTGTCTTTTATATTTTTATAATATAAATCTTTATTTTATTTAAATATATTATACATACATTATGGCAAAAATGATATATTGATTTATTTAATTTTATTTATATATATTGTCTTCAAAATTTTAATAATCGAAAATTATTTATTTTTATATAATTTCATAAAAATTATTTATTTAGAACCAATTATATACAAATAATATAAATAATTCATTTTATTTATATTATTAATTATTTAATTAATTTTTAATAAATTATATTTTATAAATATTTTTTATTTCAAATGTTTTAACGTAACTGTGATAACTGTAAATAAAAATTAAATTATAATTTTTGTTATTAATTAAATAAATTATAATGGGATTTTAATTAAAAATTAACTATTTTTCATTGTGTACTTTATTTTAAGAAGTTCTTTTCAAAATACACATAAATAAAAATAAAATATAAATGCAAGTGGTATGTAAAACATGCATTTATATAGTTACATTTTGATTATTATTCAACATTATAATTTGAATTTTTTTTTAAGAAAATAGGATAGTGTTAAAAGTAGTTTTTTAATTTTTTTTCTTTATTCAATTTTGTACTAACAGCAAAAGAGTTCTGAGTTCAGAGTTTATGAAAATACAATACTTAATTTTTCAAAATTCAATTTTTATATGATATAATAACATAATTTAAATAAATTGTTTAATTTAATATTAATAATTATAAATGAAATATAAATAAAATATTATTTATATTAATGTATTATCCTCTTGTGCTGTTTTATTAGTACAGAAACTAGAAATTTTACAGAAATTTTAAGAAAATAGATAATGTTATTTCTAAGATATACTGGTGATTAAATTTACTTAATACATGTACATATATTGTATTCTAATGTTTTATCCTTGTTTGGTTTATTCTGCTTCACTTAAATTGATAATATCTTAAATTAGATCAATACTTTCATGTTCTTTATTTTATTATTTTAATTTGATTATTCTTTTTTTTTAATAAAAAATATTTTTTAATTAAATGTAAATTGAATATAAATTTCAATAAAACACATTTCCTTTACAAACAAAATCAGATTTTTGATGACTAGAATATTTTTACATTTCATACATTAATTTTTTCTATGCAATAATATGTAATAAAAATTATTATAAGTAACATTAAAAGTAACATTCAACTTTGGTTTGTAGCATTTATTACTGTTACTTTCTTATTCAAAAAAGAAAAAAAAGGAGAATGTTAATATTAAATATTTTTCATTAAATGCACAAGTTGTAAGTAGTGTAATTCATCTTACCAACCTGTATGAATTCATTATATTATTTTTATAGAAATTTTTATCGATGATCTTATTTAATAAACAAAAAATATCATATATACATATTAAAAAACAATTTACTTGCATATTTGATACTAGCTGCCTGAATTTAATTTTTTTTCTCACTTAAAGCTATCATTATTAATTCTTATTATAATAAATTGCGAATAAATATCCGTTTAAGTATATAAGAAAATTTTCAGGTATAAGTAGTAAATTTTGGAGTAATAGCTTAAAATTTTTATTTACATCATAATACTGCGAAAAAGTTTCTCATATTAATCTTAAAAATTAAATATCATTTAAATACTATTTAAAAAATTGTGCTTTGTTTTGTTCTTATTTTCAATTAATTTTTATATAATTTTATCTTTATCTTTATATAATAACTGTAAAATAAATGCACTACTTACAATAAATGCAAACTTTACGTACAATTCCTATATAACATACTGCTAATATTTGATTATTTCATATAATAAATGTATGTATATCATTTATGTACGTATGTACATAATATAAAAAATTTCTAAGTTTAGTTCCTTTTGTTTAGAACAATAATAATGTCTTCAATTGTGCTTTTTAAATATTAAAGAAACAATTATTTTATGCAGGAACTAAAACATAAATTTATAAAATATTGCAACAAAAAGTATTAAAAAAATGTTGTTTTGTTTAAGATTATAGCATGTATAACAAAGTATGAAAAGCTTACTGCAAATATTTTATGACACTCTATATTTCAATCATATAATTAATTGTAATAGATTGTACACTTGAAATATATATAATAGATATATAATATATATGTATAAGAAAGAAAATAAAAGGAAAAGTTTAGCATTTTTAAAATTTGATTGAAATTTAGAGTATGTTACTGCTATGCTACAGTATGTACACTTAGCAAGCATTAATATGCCTATTTTTAGTTCATTCTCACTTACATTAGGAATTCTTTCCTGTTTGAAATATGTTGACATATCTTTAATTTACTCAAAATGCACATTGAGTACAAGTACGAATAAAGTATAATATTTTTTTATAAATCTGTAAGCATATGGCACGCACGTCCTATCTTTCTATATTCTAAGCTTTTTTTCAAATATAAAAAAATAGCATGTTCACAAATGGTGGAATATTTTTAGATATCATCACACTATTTTTTTATTGAATCCTTTTATAGAGAGCATGTAATATGTATCAAAATGTGTTTTAATATTATTGAATATAAATGAAAATTATGTTATAACATAATAAAAAAAAATTTATAATAATAATTAATCTAAATATACATATGAGTGTGTAAATATTTTAAGTATAAAAAAAAAGAATATTTATTCTATATATATATTCGTTATAATAATATGTATTATTAATTTTGTAAACATGGAAATTGATATAAATGAATTTTATAAAAATAATAATAAAAGATTAAAAATTTATAGTTATTTTTTAAATAAAGTTGTGCTATGTTCTCTGTATTATAGGCATACTTTGCACCATATGTTTGTTATTGGTATTACATTTTCTTCATAACTCAATATATATTTTGATTTTTTTTTCATTCTTTAATTTTTATGAAAAATAATTTAGAACTTTTTATTAATCAAATTGCACCAGTGCAATAATCAATAAAAATTATATCTGCCACATTTATTAACAGGAATACAATTTCAAATGTAAAAACATTTAAAGTATTCTATAATAAATGTTTTTCAGAATATAATTAATAGACAGTCAAAATAAAATAAATATTAATATATACATAATACATTAAAATGTATTTGGTATTATGTCATTATAAAAAGAATGTTTATATTCTAGCAAAAAAATATGCCATATAAATTAAATTTGTTATGCACAAAACATGAATATTTGTTGGCAGTATTTCATGCATAATATATATTATTTTTTGTTAAAGTATAATGAAATATTATAATTGCAATATTTATAAAAAATTTTAAGATAAATATAAAATATTTCTTATGAGATTTTTCAATTCCTTTACATCTTTTTTTTTACGTTCTCTAATATGAGATTTAAAAAATACATATGTTTAAAAGACATAAAAAATGTTTGTGTCATTGATTTGATTTTTTTTTCGTTGCTATGGCACTGTTTGTTTAAATAATTCTATAATGCTATTTTACATTTTATAAAAATTGTTAGTATATTGATTGTTATATCTATCATATGAATGTACTAAATGAATGTTTTTACTATTATAGGTATAAAAATTTAGAAATCTGGCAGCTTTTATGATCAAAATTTTAAAATTCAATATTTAAAATTATTGTAATATAGTTTCATTTTATTAATTAAATCACTATATTTAAAAATACGAATTTATTATTATATTTATGGAAAAAATAATAAACAATAAAATATAATTATTAGATTAATACATGATTAGTACATGTATAAAATTATGAAATTACTACTTTGGATGTATTACAAATTTGTAATTATTTTTATTTAATTAAATATTAAATATTTTTAAAATAATAATATATTTTTATGTTAGGTTTTTAGTTTTATATTAATTTTATTGCTTGTAAAAAAATACAAACTGTAAATTGTACTTTATTTTTGAAATAAACTATAGCTGCCAGAGAGATTTATTAAAATGTATGATTTACTACCTTTTTTCAAAACATTCATATTTTGTTCTTTTTATTTGTGAGAAAATTAATTTCAGTCTGTCAGTTTATATATGGTTTTACCTATATTGAATCTTGATTATTTATTGTTTATAACATAATGCATCTTCTCTGTCTGCGTTTTTGAGGTTCAGGTCTTAAAACAGCACGAACTGCTTCATCAAATACTTGTTTTAGACCACGTTGTGTAAGTGCAGAACATTCCATATATTTTACAGCACGAATCTATAGATTTTATTTGAAATTAATTATTAATTAAAAAGTTATTGTAATTTATTTTATTTATTTTTATATTATAATATTTATTCTAACCTTATTTGCCAATTTTTGTCCTTGTTCACGTTTTATAGCACTAAGACCTTGTTCAGCTAAGGCAGTAAGTGTTTCACGATCATCTCGTAAGTCTATTTTAGTTCCAACAAGTATCATTGGAGCATCTGGGCAGTGATGTTTAATCTCTGGATACCATTTGCTGGTAACATTTTCAAAGGATGAAGGGCTTGTTACTGAGAAACAAATTAAAAAAACGTCAGTCTGTGGATATGAAAGTGGACGAAGCCTGTCATAATCTTCTTGACCTGCTGTATCCCAAAGTCCTAGACTAACAGGTATTCCATCCACAACCATAGGTGCTGAATAATTATCAAACCTATGTCAAATAAATGAAATTTATATTTAAAAAATTACATTATATTAAAATTTTTAATACATAATATAAAAATAATTATAAAAAAATTATTTTTTAAAAAGATAACCAGTATTTTTTATTATTTTATTTTATTAAATATTCTAAAAAAAATGTAATTGATATAGATCATATTATATATATTTTCATTTATTTATATTATATTTATAATTGAAACATATTTTTACTTATGTAAAAATGATACTTACACTGTAGGAACATATTCTCCTGGAAAACTGTCAGTGGTATATGATATTAACATACATGTTTTTCCTACTGTTCCATCTCCTACTACCACACATTTGATTGGTCTACCTGAACTCATGTTTCCAATACTGTAGTAATAATAAAAATATCATATTATTATATCTCAAACAAAAAAAAAATATGTTTTAAACTAATAATATAAAAAATATATTAATAAAAATATAGTTATATTTAATAATAAAAATAATATTAAATGTTTTATCTAAAATTAATTATTTATTAAACATTAAGTAAATCATTTTATAAGAAAAGTAAATTTATCATTATTTAACATTTTAAGTATTAATTATATATTTCTAATTGTAAACAATTACAGAACATATTGAAATAAAGATAAACATTATCCGAAGTAAATATTATGAGAAAAATAGATTTTATAGTGATAAGATATATATTATTTAAAAAAAAAGGAACATTCGAAAAAACAAAAGAATGCACGTTTCGAATTTAAAGGTTAGTCACAAAGATGAACAGCTTTTTAATGAAGGGCTTGTCCTTCTATTTTGATTTATTTATTCATTATACAATTAGTAAATGAGATTTATAAATATCATATAAACACTTACCAAATATGAACAAATATTTGAGTACAAAAAAAGATCACTGTTTTAATGTGACTCCAATTACAAATATATTGGACGTTCTTTAAAAAATTATAAAACCGGGTGCCATGACGGTATTGCGGTTTTTGGGACTGAAACGGACGTAGCCTTCGCTTGGTGACAGATGTTCGACAATCTTCTTCCTTCCCCTTCTACCAAAATAATTATTCAGAAATGATAAATAGCGACATCTGTTGAATTAAAATATTTTTGCTATGTTTAATGTTTTAACAGAGACAAGATACAGAAAAGATATATCATTACAAATGAGGTACAGAATAAACTTAGCCACAAATAAGACAGATTAGATCTATTATCTTATCAGAGTATTTCATATTTAAATTATCGACTGTTAAATTAGAAATTTTGAATGATTTGATTACATATAATTTAATTTTACAAAATATATGATAAGTTTAGATCATTAAAATGACATTTTTCTGTGTTTTAAAATACTAATTGTACAAGAAATGAACAGTTTTGATATATATCTATGATTAATTTAAAGCGGTTAATTTAAAAATTATGTATAGAATGCAACAAAAGTAAAATTATTTTTTATATATTTACATATGTCTAAATTGAAATTTCATATTTCGAGTCCTTTCCTTTTTTTGATAATACAATACAAATTTTATTTAAATGAGTCAAATCTGTTATTAAAAAAATTAACGTAATTATTTTACGCCTAATCAATCAGTTTTGTATTCAGAATTTTATTAAATTAAATCATTATAATATATATAAATAGAACAAAGAATTTACTTATAATTTTAATAATTTTAAATCATCAATTTTAAAAAAATATATTTACATCCTAATTTTTTTTCTTTATATTATGTATTCTTAATTCATGAGTTTTTTAAAATTGTAAATAGAACAGATTGGCAAAGATTATGATGTGTAGTGATTGAAGTAAATCATTGATATACATGCATATAAATGAATGATAGAGCAGATAACACGTAAAATTCGTTTAGAGAACAGATAAAAAATCTATAAAACATAAATTCGTAAAACATTACTATAAAATTTAAATATAGTATTTGTTCAAAGATATAGTATGATTGATACATATATGATGATATTTTTGATATCAATGATTTGTCAATTTAAATATATTTAATTTCTGCTATTAATATATGTTTATATCAGTATTTAATATCTGTGGTTGGTTATTAAAATCAAAAATATGATAAAATGAATTTAATATTATGATATTAAATAATAATAGATGATGATAAAAAATATACATTTTTAATATTATATATAAAAAATATATTTATATAAAGTAATAATAATTACACATATTTATAAAATTAAAAAAAAATTTATATTTCAGAAATGATAGATTTAATTTTATCAAGAAACAATGTTTATGTATGGAGTGCAGAAGGTAATAATTCTATTCTTATTTTTATGAAATTTGTATGAATATTTGTATGAATATATTATGTAATAAATAATATTATGTAATATTATGTAATAAATAATAATTTATTTTTAAACTTAATTTTTACTTTTTATTTTGTTTCTAGATTGGTTAAAACTTAGAAAAGATTATCGAATAATTGGAGAATTCATTGGTTGTCTTCCAAAGAAACCAAGACAAGATATATTTTTAGGTCTTCCATTACTCTTACAGCCAGAAGAAGTATCTCTTTTACTTGAAAAAAAAATTGCAAGGCTTATACAATATTCATGTTTTCAAAAAGCACCATCTGATTCTTTAAAACAAATTTTTGAAGAATATAGAAATATATTATATGCTGAACAAGAAAAATGTTTAAGGAGAGAAAGACAAAAACAGGTTATTAAAAAAATATTTCCTAAAAATATAATATATATCTTATATGTATATAAATGCATAAAAAATATATTAATTATATATATTATTATATATATTATTATAGGTAATTGGTATGATGGATAAAATTATAGAAGGAAAAAAACGAAAAATACTTGGGATAGAAACAAAAAAGAAGAAAACAAAAAAATCATTATCAGATCCAAAAGTACAAGCAGCATTAAATAATATTGAGATAAATAGACAGGATCTATTAGAAGAAGAAATGGCAAAATTACCTAAATTAGATAAAAATGAAGCTTTGATTCAGATTCATACAGGTATTGAAAAGAAATATGAAATATATATAGGATAATGCAATAATATATGCATAGTTATGTATATCTATAATTTTATTTCGTAAATATTTTATAGAAATATGTTTTTAGTGTATCCATGGATAGATAAAGATATCAAAATAGTAGAATGGAAATATCCCTTTAATTATAAACAACAACTTCGATATAAAACATATCAAGATTTATGGGAAAAAGGATATTATGTGTCAAGTGGAGAAAAATTTGGAGGAGATTTTTTAGTATATCCTGGTAAAGATAAAATTTTATTATATATTGTTTATGATTATAAATGATTAATAGATTTAAATAAATATTTTAATAATTTGTATTTTTTATAGGAGATCCTATTATGTTTCATTCTCAATTTATAATTTTATGTAAACATGAAAATGAAGAAATTCCAATAACTGAACTTTCAGCACAGTGTCGAATTGCTTGTCATGTTCGAAAAACACAAGTGTATGCTTTCTTTTCTGAAAATCAAAATATAAAATATCAATCATTTCAATGGGCAGAAAATGCTATGCTTGAAAATATTTAAATTTTACAAAAAAATTAATAACTTTTTTTCTTATTTATATCTTTAATTTACAATTAATTCAAATAATACAATATAAGTATTTTCACTTAAAGAGTATCAATCAATACAAATCTATTATGTTGTGATTCAGGAATAACATTAAAATATTTTTTATATATAACACTATTTTCTCTGTCTGCATAATTCAACTTAGCCCAAGAATGAGACATATTTGGATTAATCTTTTCACAGGTAATCATCACTTTCCCACTTTCTAAAGCATATAATGTACCATTTTTACCAAAACCAACCTATGAAATAAATTAATATATATTTCAATAAAAACATTTGAACATGCTACAAAATGATTATTATATACAATAAAATTAGAATTATACTTACATATAATCCTGGATGAAATCTAGGTTTAAGTTGTGTAGCTAATATTGTAGATTCTTTAACATAATGTCCATCTTGTACTCTCCATCCTCTATGTTTTGGTCTTGTGTTAATAGGTGCATTACGTGTACTACTACTAGCTTTCTTTGATGCATATCTCACATATGCTATTAAAAATTTCTTAATTCATAAAACTTGAAAAAATTATTATATAAACAAATAACATACTTTTTACATGAATTTAAAATATTTATCATTTTTTTATTATAAAAAAATTAAGAATATTAAGATTACTATATAAAATATTTACTATATAAAAAAATTAAGAAAATATTTACTTTATACACACCTAAATTAGTAGTAGTACTTTTCACAAGTAATTTAGAATTTTTAATGCAAGTAAATAATTGTGTTAAAAGTATCATATCTGAAATTTATATAAAAATAATATATAATAATATATATAAATAAATATATCATTTTAATAATAAATTTTTCAATTTTAAATAATATATTTAAACAAAATTATTAAATATTTATAATCATTAGTTTTATTTAAAGTCTGTTTATAAAGTCAAATCATTAGAAATAAATCAAATTATGTGATATATGCTTCAATTGTTAGTTGGCAAAGTCTTCTAAATATTAGGATTGATATTGTAATATATACTTACTTTATGACTTTTGCCAAATAAACCGCTTATTTTTGTAAAAAATATAATATATTTATAAATTTTTATCTTAAATATAAAATTGAAATTTGAGATATTATATTTTTAAACTTATATATATTTTTATTATATTTTTAGATTTTGATATATAAAATCGAAAAATAATAGTTTTAATTGTTAAAATTCAATAGTTCAGAAAATATTTGCATGCAAAATTGCAAGTTTTTATACGTTATATATCATAACGCCATATTGATTTTTTATTTAATTCGATAATTAAATTGTGATTGAACAATAAAAGAACAGAACGTGACAAATTCAAAATATTTTTCAAGGAAATACAAACTGTATTATATTATATATCCAACTCGAATCATATAATAATTGAAAATTTGAATATAATCCAATTTAAAACTAATATTCTAGAAGTTAAATATGAAGAGAATAATATCTCTGCGATTATAGATATTAGTTATATAAATATTTATCATGACAATTTTTTTATTAAATAAATAATTATATATTAGATTAATTGTAAAAAAATTAATATATCATTTTATAATAATCATAAAATTTTTTAGATAGAAAATGTAAATTCCGCTGATATTTTTATTGTCCAATCAAATTGTACACAAAATTTTCTTTCTTTAACCGAAAAATAATTTGAATTTAATGTTGATTGGTGTTTCAATCAAATTGAATAAAAATTCAATATAATTCTTAAAAACTTCGTAATTTTGCATACAAATATTTTTGAATATTAATTATTTTCGAATTTTATACATAAATAAAATATTAAAAAGTTTAAAAATTTGATTGATCGAAATAAAGATTTTAAAACATAAATTTAGTCTATATTTTAATTTATAATTTGGATATGTATTAAATGATTTCATTGTATCACAAATAAATATTTGTTTTAAAATTTATAATACATATTAAACGGATGTTTATGTATTAGTTTCTGAAAACTAATAGAAAGAGTTTTTTGTCCAATTAAATAGTGATACAAAATAATTCAACCAATAGGAAATAATATTAAAATTACCTTTAAAAGGAAAGTTGGTAGAGGCATTGATCATCATTATTATCAATGGTATATACACGCGGATAATTTTATGGTAGTATTTCTGTCGGCAATTGAGATTTTTATTATTACTATATAGTATTGATTGAAATAAAAAAAAATATTGCAAAATGTCAACTGTAGCTAGTCCTTTAGTTGTTGGTGGTGTTCGACAATCTGGAGCTCCTGTAAGAACACAAAATGGTATGTAATTCATTTTGTATAAGAATTTGGTTATGCTTTATTTAATCTTTATATGAAATACAGATTTTTTATTTTATATAATAGTTTTATTTTTATTAAGATTTTTAACTATATGAAATTATTATTATAAAATAATGTATATTTATAATTTTTATTTTTTTTATGCAATATAAGTAATATAATATTGATATGATTATTTATAATACATTAAGATAATATTTAAATTATTCTTTCTAATTTCTAATAGAATTTCAATATTTATGAATTATTTTTTTTAAAAAAACTTAATAAAATTCAAATATAAATTTCAATGATTTTATAATATATATTTTATTGAATTTATATATTGAAATATATAAATTTTGCATATTAATTATAATTATTTTATTTTCTTATTTATTTTTTTTATTTTCTAGTCATGGCTGCTTGTGCAATTGCTAATATAGTAAAGAGTTCTTTGGGCCCTGTTGGTTTGGATAAAATGCTCGTAGATGATATTGGTGTATGTAAACATTTTTGTAAAATATATCTAAATAATATAAAAATTAATCTATCTATATAAAAATTAATTAAATTTGTATTTTATATATTTAAATTAATATTATAGGATGTTACTGTTACTAATGATGGAGCAACTATTTTACGTTTGCTAGAAGTTGAACATCCAGCTGCAAGAGTTTTAGTAGAATTAGCACAACTACAAGATGAAGAAGTTGGAGATGGAACTACTTCAGTTGTAAGTTTATTTAATTTATTATATATTATTTATAATATATAATATTATTTATATATAATTTATTTTAATTTTTAATTTTTATTTATATTTATAATTTATTTAAATATATTATTTTTAAATAAGATAATAATTTAAACAGGTAATAGTGGCAGCTGAATTATTAAAAAATGCTGATGAACTTGTAAAACAAAAGATTCATCCAACATCTGTAATTAGTGGTTACAGGCTTGCTTGCAAGTAAATAATTATCAACTTATTTTTGAAATCTAAAGATAAAGAAATAAATATTCTTAAATAATAAAATAAAATAGTAAAAATATTCTATATATATATTTACATTTTATATAATGGTAAAAACATCATATCATTTACATTTTAGGGAAGCTTGTAAATACATTCAAGAACATTTAACAGTTGGTGTAGATGAGCTTGGAAGAGATTGTTTAGTTAATGTAGCAAAAACTTCAATGTCTAGTAAAATCATTGGAGCGTATCCTTTTTTTTATTCTGTCATATAAAAAAATTAAATATATGCAATATTAATTAAGTATATTGTTATTATTATCATTTCCTTAATAAATTTATTTAGTGATGCTGATTTCTTTGGAAATATGGTTGTAGATGCTGCAAATGCAGTAAAAGTTAGTGATGGAAAAGGAGGATTTATATATCCTGTGAAAGCAGTTAATGTTTTAAAAGCTCATGGAAAGAGTGTTAGAGAATCTGTATTAGTACAGGGTTATGCATTAAATTGTACTGTAGCTTCTCAAGCAATGTCTAAAAGAATAGTGAACGCAAAAATTGCATGTTTAGATTTCTCTTTACAAAAAACAAAAATGAAATTAGGTGTTGAAGTATTAATCACAGATCCTGAAAAACTAGAAGCGGTACGCCAACGTGAAGCAGATATTACAAAAGAACGTATACAAAAAATTCTCTCAGCAGGTACAAATGTTGTTCTTGTATCTGGAGGAATTGATGATCTTTGTTTAAAGGTATACTAAATATTATCATACATAATATATAAATATTATCATATTTTCTTATTTTAAAAAGAATAAAATTATATATAAATTTTTAATTTGTTTAGTATTTTATAGAAGCTAAAGCAATGGCAGTTCGTAGATGTAAAAAAGCAGATTTGAAAAGAATTGCAAAAGCTACAGGTGCACAATTTCTTACTTCTTTAACTAATATGGAAGGAGAGGAAAGTTTTGATTCAAGTTTTCTTGGAGAAGCTGCTGAAGTAATACAAGAAATGATATGTGATGATGAGCTCATTCTTATTAAAGGGTTCGTTTTTTAAGATTATTTATTATTTGATACAGATGATATAATTAAAATTGAAATTAAATTCATATTCTTATAATAGACCAAAAGCAAGAACAGCAAGTTCTATGATATTAAGAGGACCAAATGATTATTATTGTGATGAAATGGAACGATCTGTGCATGATGCATTATGTGCAGTAAAACGAGTTTTAGAGAGTAAAAGTGTGGTTGCAGGAGGTGGTTGTGTTGAAGCAGCACTTTCAATTTATTTAGAAAATTTTGCTACATCACTTGTAAGTTTTCTTATAATGTTGTAAATTATTAAATTATTTGTATTAAAATATTTATATTTTACAGAGTTCTCGAGAACAATTAGCTATTGCTGAATTTGCAAGATCATTATTGGTTATACCGAAAACATTAGCTGTTAATGCGGCACAAGACGCTACAGATCTTGTTGCTAAATTACGTGCTTATCATAATTCCAGTCAAACGAAAGCAGATCTTGCAGATTTAAAATGGTAATATTTTTTAATAAAAAATTATATATTAAAATTTCTTTCATATAGGAAATATAATATTATATTAATACTATTTTATAGGGTTGGTTTGGATTTGCTTGAAGGTACTATTAAAGATAATAAAAAAGCTGGTGTATTAGAACCAGCTATTTCAAAAATAAAATCTCTGAAATTTGCAACGGAAGCAGCGATAACTATTCTTAGAATTGATGATATGATCAAATTAGATCCAGAACGATCAAAGGATAAATCATATCGTGATGCAATGGAATCTGGTGAATTGGAAGAATAATATTAAAATATATTATTTAC